CAATATATTAGTACAATGAAGAATAGGAATGTTTTTCTTCAATGTTTATGATACATAATTCAGAATAAATCCAATAGAGATCAACACGAGTAGCATTTCCAATGTCATCTAGTGAACACTGATTGTAATACAGTGAGAAACAATTATTAACTCAGCCAAATAATTCTGGATAGACCATTTTCTCAGTCTGAACTGGGCTCTCTCTCTCCTGGACTGTGTTTAACAAAGTTAGACATTTCAAATGTCTTCCTTCACATTCTCATTTGTCCTGTGTCCTGTCATTCCTCTGGTTTGTCCATAATGGTTATGTTTTTCAATTCCATGCTCAGCACATGCATCTTCTGGGCCTCTTTCTCCCGGCCTCGCCTTGACAGGAATTGGCAATTGCTATCTCCACTCTTTTTTGGGAGGATACTTGCCTGGGCTGGCTGGTCCAACTTTTGAAGTCTATTTTGGCTCCCACTCAGTTTTCTTGTCCACCTGAGGTTTTTTTTTTCAATTTGGGGACTCTTGCTTTCCTAGAAACCCTGTTTCCTCTTGGTTATGCATATGTGTGTGTCCCCTTTAATACTTTCGAGACAGGTCAGGGATGAAAGGCCATGTCGCATTCAAAATATTATTTAACCACTATTTCATGAATTTATGTCAATAAGTTTGGTAGATTATAATTCAAATTTTAGTATTATACATTACTCAATTTCATAATTCAAAAGTAAATATAAAAAAAGACTCAGATAAAAATCGATTTTTGTGTGTCACGTGGTATGTTGAATGCAGCACTTGTTGAAATTACGTGTTTGTGAAGTCAAAATACTAAGTCTCTAGTTTCATACAAATTAGAAACTGAAATTACCAATATTGACAAGCTAGAATATAAAATAAGTAGGTCTTATCTTTTCTATTTGCTAATATATTGCTCATGTAATAAATCAAGTATAGTGGCACCCTGCTTTTTGGAAATGCTTCCTTATATACATTTACTTCTATATATCACATGAATAACCAATCGGAAGCTCAGAATGTACCCCTAGTGGCTTTCTCAGCCATTTAAAATTTTTAGGACGTCATTTCTTTTGAACAAAGAATTCAAGGAGGTAAGGTGTGTCTTTAGTGCTTGACATTTCATATTTTCTTAGACTAAAATACATCTTAGTTACTAAGCTTCATGAATTATAGTGGACTTCTATGACATTGATGTAATAATTTATCATTTTTTAGTTATTCAAATGTATATATAAAACTTAAAAAAAACTTATTTTGTTTCATATCCTCCACATGCAAAATTTTTAAAGGCTTAGCAAACTACATCAAGCAGCAACTGAGTACAAAGGTCATAACTAGAAGAGATAATTGTTTGCTTTACTTCCTTATTTACTATTCTGTGTTTTAAGAAAAATAAGTTTATGAACTTATTTCAAAATAGAAATAATCTATATACATATATAATGTATGATAATTGAAATGTGGCTGTATTTTACAAAATACTAGTCTACTAAAACACTGCCAAGACAAGTTACTTTTTACCGACCAAATGTCATGAGTGCATGTGAGCCACATCATTGTAACTTCTGTATTGTTAGCCAGGCATGGTTGACAGGTCAATATAATAAAAATAATAAATATATATAAATGTATAATGTTATGAGATTTATGCTATTTAATCTAAACATTTATGTTTTCGTGTTATAATTTGTGTTCATTCTAGAATGAAAAAGGCATAATTTATATTTATTTCCTAATTTTTTATGGTGGTTGCGAGATTGTTCAAATCTACCGAACCTGTACAGAGATTAATTACTGAAAATAACAAATGAAATATCAAGTTTTTTCTTAAGAAATGATTGATAACTATCTGGACATTATAAAGATTTCGCATGCGAAATTTGAAAAGTTTCTGATTCATAAAAGTATTTTTAATCTTAAAATGAAAATTACTTTGCATGATAGATGGGCAACATGTGAAAAGAAAAACAACAACATTGCTTCACAAAACTTAAGATTTAATATGAAATATGATATTTTGAGTATGAAAGCATTGTAATGTTTACTGATAATTTGCCAAATTTGTTAATGTTTGCTTACTAATTTAAAAGTTATAGCATGAAAACTATAGCAAGCACAAAATGGTTACAAGGTCAGTCCCAGGGGCTGAGCTTGTGCTGAAAGAGTTAATGGGCTATGGAGTATCATTGTCCTGCATTCTCCTGAGCCACTACCTTTATTTCTATGTTCTTCTACTGTGGTAGCTCAGTTGCTTCACACACACACACACTCCTGGACACTCTCTCCCTTACTGGAACCTTTGTATGGTTCTTTGTAATATTACCATATAACTTGCTCCCCTTTGAGCTGATGGCTTCATGTTCCTGGTGTCAGTTGTATCTCAAAATGTATTTTCTCATTTCTCTTGCTTGTGCTCATTGTCATTCAGACATTTATGTCTTAGATACCTTCTTTGTTTCCAGTCCACTCCTTT